ACTCCATTTCCTAACAACATGAACAAAAATTGGCAGCAGTTGTTAAGCCAGCCATGTGCATTTTAGTTCGCTGCATTTATGGTTATCTATTACAAGATTCTGTGTTAATATAAACATCGTTGAAATCACATTTTCAGATAGAACCAAATATCAATGTTTTAAAGGATAGTATCTACAAAGAAGATGATATTGAAAGTTATAATTACGTTAGTTGCAAGGCTCATAATAAAGATAAGACAAATAGTGAATGGTGTGACGATTGGATTCACAATTTTGGCCTTGGCACCACAACAAACTAGATTTTTCGATATACTTACCCATCACTGAAAAAGTTTGATTTCAAGAAAGTATTTAAGTGTCATTACAGTAGCAGAATTTAAAAATTGTCCTACTCGAATAACGAACAAGAGATGTAATGCCAAAATACCGCAGGAATTCAGGCATTAAAATTCGAAGGCTTATGTATTTGAGGAATCTGGAAGCGAATACTGGATTGAATCAGAGTAACCAAAATTACCTTCTATACTACCTGTAAAGTTTAGGTTTTGTTTTCTGAAACATTGTAATGTTACCTTGTAAATAGCCTATAGAAAATAAAGATAAATTATTTTAATTGATTGAGTAGTTATTAATTTGGTATCGTGGTATCATTTGGAGTAGAAATAGGCGCATATTGTAACTTCATATCCTACTATGTTATAGATTGACGTCCATTTGCATCACGGTACTCTCAATATTCTTCAAATTATTCAGGAAATAATCTAGCCGTATCCCACTCGACCTATAAATTTGAATGGATTAACCTATCCGAATATTTCTCACTCAGAAAATTGAAAAGTTGATAAATTCACCCCAAATTGCTAAGTGTAGTTTTGTCCTGAATTTAAGAGAAAATAGTACCCAATACCCATATTCTCCAGCTTTTTGATTCGTTGTGTTTAGGGGTTATTCTGGATCTGGTCCCAGAGGAATAGACCTCAAACTTCAATGGGATTCATTTCGAACATTGTTATGCAACATTATAAATAATCCATATTTTGAATTCTGGTTGAAATTTTCCTGAGTTTCTGGCGGATTCCGGAGTTTCTTTGATGAGTTTCTAAAAGCAATCCCAACAACGTTGGAGAAGAAATGACGTCGGTTCTAGTACGGATTTAATGACGAACTTTGTTGTCGGAATACTTTCTGGTTTTGTTTAAATCAGTAGGTTGGTACTTTAATTGTTCAAATCTTTAATCGTTTGAATAGAAAATCTATCTTCTTTCAATCCAAGGTTATTATTGTTGGCAATCTTGTCACGTTGAAATTTCTCTGATTATGGTGTGAAGTTTGAAATTTATGTTTTTTTTTTATGTAAAAAGATGTTCAGTGTATTGGATAAAGAGGGAAATTTTTGTTCATGGATCGTCGTTTATTTCGGGAATGTTTAGAACGTTGGAGGTCCCTGGGACTCTTGGTATGTGTACTCTGCAGCTTGAAAATATCGGGAGAGTTTGAAGGATTCGGAATCTCCCTTTCTTCAAGGCTACACTCTGAAGCAAGGAAAAACAGGAAAGCAGGAGGCCTGAGACAAAATTAAGAAACCATCAGGAAAATCTGAGAAATGGCTAGAGTAATAAGGTATACGTAAAACATCAAACCAACCTCATTGATAAATTAATGTAAAACAATATAACGTTATGGTATGAAGTTATCCATCAAGCACTACCACTTATATTTGCTTTTCACTTATTATTGGCGTAGCATTATCCATGGAAATTTGGCAGGTTGACCCTCGTATAATAATGACGGTATATGTCAAATTCCAGACAGTTTTAAGTGTGGTTTACATAATTTCGTAGGTGCCGCGGTATTAAAATTTTCTGGCCTATCTGGCAAATCAAATTTGACACATTTTTCAATGCATTTTTCAATAATGCCATATTATAAACGATACCTAACTATTTTGCGTACCTACCTGCAAAATCTAATGACATTTTTTAAAATTCGGCATTGTCAAATTTCTTTCGTATTGAAGATGCCGAAAATAATCTCAGAAGAAAAAAAAGGGAAATATTAAAATGTCATGGTTATTTAAAAAAAAAAACCAGAGGCTCTCCAGGGAACAATTGAAGCCCAACTTGCAGATATATTTGAGGTAGGTATGGGTATAACTTAAATGTACATGTGAAGCCATTTCTTACCCAACCAACATTTTCCTTAAATTTTAGGTGGTAACCAGGACTATTCAAAGAATTTTGACTGGACAATATACAATCAAAAAAACTTTAGGCCGACCAAAAAAGACTGAGACTATTATGGATTGAATGTTTAAAGAATATTTACAACGACAAATTTTGAAATACAATTCTAAAATGAATATTTTACATTACTGACACACGCAAAAGAAAATTTGGAATTTAAGGGAGGGCAAACAAGTTTATATAAAATTTTAAAATCTATGGGATAAAAATTTGAAGCAGTAAATGGACGCAACATTTTATGTGAGCAGAAACATGTTCTTGCTGCCAAAATTACATTTTTGCGGAAATACCTCCAATATAAACATTCAAACGAAAATATCAGATTCGTGTATTTAGATGAAACTTGGATCTACCAAAACGAATCTCAAGTTCGTCGATGGATACACGAATCTGATATGAATAGCAACCCATCCAAAATTAAGTCAGAGGGGAAACGTTTTACTATTTTGCATGCGGGGAGTAGTTCTGGGTTTATGGATGAGTGCGATTTTTTTCTAGATTCAAGAAACAATGACAGAGACTACCACAATACCATGAACGCGGACATCTTCCAAAAATGGGTCGTTGATCAACTAATTTCTGCATTGAATATATTTGAAGAGAATAATAGTAATAATCATGGACAACGCTCCATATGATTCAGAGCAGAAGGATAAACCACCTTCATTCTCTTCAAAGAAAGACTAAATGCGGGAATGGTTGATTAAACATAACGTATACTTCGACACAAAAATGACCATAAAACAACTATGGGACAACAATCGATCCTGCAAAGGAAGATATTTGGAAAGAGAGGAGCAGGAAGAAGAAGAATATCGTGACGGAAAAATCTCAGAACATTGTTTGATAAAAGCTCGCCACAACTCTTCCATATTGCTGCGAATTAAGTGGACATCGCCATAATAATCGATGATCGCCAACATTCATAAGGGATAGGCACGTCCAGAAGAAGAAGAAATAAAATAATAAAAATAGAAGAAATGCCGTTGGACCAAACCCGAAAAAAAAGTTACTGCAAAATCATATTTATATGCTATTGAGCTTACTGTTATGGTTACGTTCAATTAATAAATTGAATAATTTTACTATTTGAATTTACTCAGATATTTTACACATTCTGGCAACTCGGCTTTCTGTTTCATAACCCTGAAATTTGAAAAATAATTTGTCATCAAATGCCATTATTATACGAGGGTCAACCTTTCAAATTTCCATGGATAATGCTACGCCAATAATAAGTGAAAATGGTGTATGTCAAATTGAAGCTTTCTTCTAACCAATATTCTACCTTCTAACATTTTTACATGATTATTTCAGGTTTTAATCTTTGCTTTGGCAGAGATGAATTTGAAATGTTCTTATAGGGATGTAGTTTCACACATAAACATTATTATCATTGATTTTAATGCTGGAACCAACTTTCAAGTTTATTCAGATATAAAGACTAGGTTTACATCGACTACATCTACATCAGATAGGTATTTGAAACCCAGGATGATATTAATACGAAATAGATATCGAGATGTTTTTGAAGGCTTTTAGGGACAATTCCAGGATTCTATCTGCAACATTCAAGTAACAGGAAAATCCAAAAATCTGTAAGCCATTACAATAGAAAAGTCCCTTACACTTTCAAACAAATTAAAATAGAAAAACATCAATTAAAAAATGGAATTATTCTACAGATTGAGTAGCCTAATGATAACTGACAGTGACAAACCAGATAAATTACCTATAAGAATTTGTATTAATGCTCCTGGATAAAATGAGCATGAAGGTACCTTATTTTGATTGACTGTTGCGGTAGATGAGTTGTTGTGGAAAGTAGGTGATTTGGTAATATTGCTTATTCATTTTGGAAACATAAGTCACTGTTAAAAAAGCGGCTTTTATAACACAGAAGAAGGCACTTTAACCTTAACCTCATAAAAAATTGTCCCCTGGATGTGGATGAACAACTATCAACTAAATTGACCTGATTTACTGCTTCAAATCGCCAATTTCTTGACTATAGACTCCATGGATTAATTTTTCATTTGAGCAATAAACAAAAATCCCATAATAATAATTATTATTACCTTGGTGTTTTTTCCGCGGTTCGCACCATCGTAGACAACCACATGGCAATCCGTTCGATTTAACGACCTGGCACACTTTTAACGGCTTTCCAACGACCGCCTCGTCGCCTTGCTCTAAAAGTCGACACCCCCAAACTCAATCTAAATCCAGCCATATATAACACTCAAAATGAACTTTTCGCGTATGTCTTGTCCTGGAGCGTGGAATTTCCGAACAAAATAGGCGACAATATTAACGTCCGCCAATTTTTAAAGGGTTCAAATTTTCCTCTAAAATTTTCATCGTAAAAAAATTGTCGAACCAGGGGCGTAGCTGAAGATACGGCTCGAAGGACCATAGTATCGATTAGGGCGTGCACCGGTGGACTATTGGTCGAAGCTCTCAGCTTTGGGCTGGATTTGAGACACCGCGCAAGCTCTCGGTCTGGCCCCCCTAAACTCGGCCGTATGTTTTCACTAGTAACATTGTGTCTACCCGCGAAGCAACATACGGTGTTTTTACTTATATCCTGTGTAAACTACGGTGTTGTGTTTAATAATAGTCATCGGGCGAGTGGGGTGTTTTTCCAAGACTGGATCCAGTGAAAACATCGTTCTGGAATAACATTTGCTTGTTGTTCTTTTGCGGAATCCAATTTCGCGTTTCTGATAAGTTCTTGAGTCCGAGAAGGAAAAAAAAATGCATACGTTTCTCACGGAACATCAGAGCATGTACAATCGTTACAACACTGGATATTCTTCGTCTACAGTGGCCAGCAATCCTTATTATGACCAGTATCGTTATGGTTATGCCGCAGCATGGCATCATCAACAACATCCTTTGGCTTCTGCCAAGGATATGGTGAAACCTCCTTATTCTTATATTGCTCTAATTGCTATGGCTATTCAAAACGCGCAAGACAAAAAGATAACTTTGAACGGCATTTATCAATTTATAATGGAAAGATTTCCTTATTATCGTGAAAATAAACAGGGCTGGCAAAACTCTATAAGACACAATTTGAGTTTAAACGAGTGCTTCGTTAAAGTTCCAAGAGATGACAAAAAACCTGGCAAAGGTAGTTATTGGACTTTGGATCCAGACTCCTACAATATGTTCGACAATGGCTCCTACTTGCGACGGAGAAGGCGCTTCAAGAAAAAAGACGCCTTAAGAGAAAAAGAAGAACAAGTTAAAAGGCAGCAAATACATCCAGATTCTCCATCTAAACGTGAAGACCATAAACCTTTGGAAGAAGTGAAAATGAAACTGGGTGAGTGCAAACCGAAACGGGAGCCCAACACTGAACTCAGTCAATGCATGAGTGCTAAATATGGCGATCCAAAAAGTGTCATAGTGCATCAAGAACACGTGTTAAGTGACGTGACTGCTTCATTACAAGCCATGGATACTGCTGCAGCTTTTACAGTTGACTCGTTAATGACGGCCAGTAGAGATCAGGCTTTATCCTACACCAACTCAACTAGGCTACATTCCTCAGGAGGTATGTACTCTTACTGTCCCAGTGCTACACCTCAACACCAATACAACTTGGCCGATGAAGCAACTCCGCGCTACAGTCCTTGGTACAGCCCGGAAACTTCTCCAGAGAGTGCTACAACTACACCTACGGGGTATCGTGATATTATTTTTGACGGTACCACAGCGCCTAGTTGTCAGCTGGCTAGTTTTCGGCATTCGGGAGTTTCTTCTAGTCCACCGCATAACTATAGAAGTGCTCCAGTTACTCCATACTATCAAACGGACTGTGTAGCGCAGAAATACTGAGGGTACGCCCAATTTTTCGATCATCCTGTAAATATAAAGACTGATCCGTATTGATTGTGTTGAGTGTAGGCTCTTTTCACTTAGAGTTGCGATTATTGTGGTGATAATGGTATGAAAAGAGTTTTCTATAATAGTTGTAAATAAATATAAAATTGAAAATATTGGATCGGTATATTATATCCAGTATTTTCAATCAAGAATTTGACATGAAGCTTTATAGGATTTTTGTCCAATAATTTATTTCATCGGCAAAATCAAAATGGCCGATCAAGCAAGAATGTGATTTTTATTGTAAACAATTTTCAGCTTTCGAAATCTTTGTGGAAATAAATAATGCAATTATTAATACTATTGTATATATCGTAATATTAAATTTGTAGTTTACTCTATTCTTTGTGATTTTTATTGCTAATATGTCTTTTCGACGTCTCATAGGTCGAACTTTTGGCATATAATGTAATTTTGTTTTTTCGAAATGTGATATTATAAGAATACTTAGGTAATTTGTATATTAGATAGATGTAATTGGTCATAGTTAGCTTGAGAAGAAATCGGGAAAAAATAAACTATACCTAACTTGATTTCATAACCGGCATTTAGTTGTTTATTATTTCGAAGTGTTCCTATATATAACAATTAGCTTGATTTCTTTTGAGAAGTTTCACATAAAGTAATTATTATTGTCTTTACATTGTTCACAATTCCTCTTAGACGATAATTATGAAGCTTTTATTTGAATGTTCAATTGATTTGCATTTGCATTTAGAGTCCTTTTGTAAATATTTTGTAAATAGTCAAATTTTTAGGTATATTTGTGTATTAAGGCACATCTGTATGATAATTTATTAATATCATATATTATTGAAAAATATATGCAACATTTGTGAATTTCATTCTTTGTGTTTTATTCAATCCAATGATTCAATCAATCAGATATCTATAAAGGTGAGTATCTATAATCTGCTCACGATAATTATAAATACCTACCAACATGTTTTTTGATTTGTAGGTATAAGTAGTCTTTTTAAAGTCAGTTGAAACAAGGAAAAGGAAAATCACAACTGGTGATTGAATACTTCCATAAGAAATGCACTGCCATATAGGGTTTTCTTTTCAAATTTCTCTAAATGAGTTGTATTCAAGAGCCTCGAATAGAGAAAATATTTAAATTCGTACTCTTAAAAAACTCTCCTCAAGTTTTCCTCAATTTCCTATTTCCATTTCTCAATTATTATTAAAGTTTCTTCCCATTTGTTCTCCTCAATGTTTGTCTATTCCCGGCTCTTGAATTTGGGTTTTCTTTTCCAAAGCAATGATTGCTATTAGAGCAATATTCCATTGAATCGGAAGCCAGAGAATAGTCCAAACCTTTTCCCAATGAATCAAGACCCAAAAAAAATCATAATTCGGATTGTTGCCAACTCTTGATTACCCTAGAACAATTTTCTAATGAATAGAGAGCCGGTAATTGGGACTATTATTGGTTCTTGATTGCTCTCAGAGCAATTTTATAGTGGATGGAGAACTGGTAATAGTCCCAAGTTTTGAAAATCTGCCAGCAAATCGATTGCCGATAATAGTTCATATTTTGAAAAAAGACTGGCTCTGGATTCACCTGCAAAAATTCTACAGTGATAAACATGAGCTGATAATAATCAAAATATGGATTATAACCGGCTGTTGATAGGTAACTTTCCAATGAATCGGAAGCCAGAGAATAGTCCAAACCTTTTCCCAATGAATCAAGATCCAGAGAAAATCATAATTTGGATTATTGCCGATTCTTGATTGCCCTAGAGCAATTTTCTAATTAATCGAGAGCCAGTAATTAAGTAATTTGGACTATGATTGGTTTTTGTTTGCTCCTGGTGCAATTTTCCAGTGAATAGAAAACTGATAATAGTCCCAACTTTTGAAATTTTGCAGCGAATCGAGTGCTGGCAATAGTTCAAATTTTGAATATAACTGGCTCTGGATTGACTGGAAGAATCAATGAACTATAACCAGAAACTAGAATGCGCACACATATTGACGAACGTGAAGCCTAGCGCCGCTGCTGCGGAGAGGATGCCTGTTTTTGTCGCACTCATTACGTTAAATGGCGGAAATTGCGTCAAACACGTATTTCAATTGATAAAACCTGTGTAGGTGAATATAACAAAACTTTCGAAAACGTCATATGTCAGCGAGCAACAGAAAAGAACAACATTCCCCTTTGTGGCATCCGTCTCTAATGGCTTCGTTTTCCTAGCGGGTATGGCAATGTGTGCGCATTCCAGTTTTGGTTATAGTTCATTGGGAAGAATGCTACAGTGACAACCGAAAGCTGATAATAATCAAAACATGGATTATTACCGGCTCTTGACTGCTACTCTAGAGTAATTTTCCAGGGAATCGGAAGTCAGAGAATAGTCCAAACATTTTTGCAGTGAATCAAGATCTAGATAAAATCATAATTTGGATTATTACCTCTCTACTCATGATTCCTTTAATTTTCCAATGAATCGGAAGCCGGTTATTTGGACTATTATTGGTTCTTCATTGCTCCTAGAGCAGTATTCCAGTGAATAGAGAACTGGAAATGTCCCAAGTTTTGAAAATCTGCAGCAAATCTAGTGCCGCTAATAATTCAAATTTTGAATATTACTGGCTCTGAATTTGTTGGAAAGATGCTACAGTAACAGCCAAGAGCCGATAATAATCAAAATATGAATTATTACTGCGGCTCTTGATTGCTACTCTAGTGCAATCTTTCTGCGAATCGAGAGCTGGTAATTTGGACTATTATTGGTTATTGTTTGCTCCTGCCTCCAAGAGCAATTTTTTAGTGAATGGAGGACTGGTAATAATCCCAACTTTTGAAATTTTCCAGCGAATTGAGTGCCGGTAGTAGTTCAAATCTTGAATATTACTGGTTCTGGATTCACCTGGAAAAATGCTACAGTGACAGCCAAGACTTGATAATAATCAAAATATGGACTATAAGGGCGAGTTCTCATGAGCGTAAGTTGACATTTCTAGCGTAATCACGTGATAAAATGGTTGAATTTTATTGGTAAAATATGCGCCATGCTGGAGATTTTACCAATCAAATTACACCATATTATGACGTGATTACGCCAGAAATTTCAACTTTACGTTCATGAGAACTCGCCCTTACTGGCTCTTGATTGCTACTCTAAAGCAATTTTTCAGCGAATCGAGAGCTGGTAATTTGGACTATTATTGGTTCTTGTTTGCTCCTAGAACAATTTTCCAGTGAATGGGGAACGGGTAATAGTCCTTGCTTTTGAAATTTTCCAGCGAATGGAGTACCAGTAATAGTTCAAATTTTGAATACTACTGGTTCTGGATTCACTGGAAAAATTCAACAGTGACAGCCAATAGCTGATAATAATTAAAATTTAAAATATAGACTATTACCGGCTTTTGATTGTTACTCTAGAACAATTTTCTAGCGAATCGGAAGCCAGAGGATAGTTCAAACAGTAAATCAAGATCGAGTAAAATAATAATCTAATATATAAAATTCTCATGTCACGGTTTTAGTTACCTTCGTCCTCCGAAACGGCTTTACCGATTTTTATGAAATTTTATATGTAGGTATATTCGGTAGGTCTGAGAATAGGTTTTAAGCTATTTTTCATACCCCTAAGTATAAGGGCGGTCCACCGCCAAAAATCTTTAAGTTTTTTTTGCTTCTCACCACTACATAACCCAACTTATTTTTGTTAACGGTATTATCTTATAGCATTTTCGGCTTTACTGTTCCCAGAGCGCTCTCTATTTGGGCGGTGACGTCACAGATCTCTGCGGAAGTGCTCTGAGAGCGATTATGATCCAAGCGAGGGCACCCTATTTGAAATCAATAGCCGAACGTACCTACTTAAATTGTTTTGTTTTGATCAATCATTGATCTATCGAATTTGACGGAATCAAGGAATAGCGCTCTGTGCGAGATTTGAGAGCGTTTATTGCTCAAGTCGAACACGTGAATCCGTTTTGGATCGCTTTTTGATCAATCGGGAGCAGTTTTGAGACAAAAGTTGAAAGCGCTATTATCTACATATTATCTATTATCTATATTATATAAAAATCAATGTTTGTTTGTTTGTTTGTGCTTTATGCGCTCCTACACCACTTATCCGATTACGATGAAACATTGGTAGGTTGTTATGGCCATCCCAAGGAAGGTTTGTGGATAGGTTACGCATCTCGGAAAAAGAAATTAATTTTGTATTAATTATTAATTTAATTATAAACAAACTCATTCACATTACATAACAACATAACCCATCTTTTTTTGACAATATGAAACAACGTTGCCACATTTCATTTAGGCTTGCGCATTCAACGGACGTAACTTTACTATTTTTTGAATTTGAGAACGGCCGGACCGATCTTGAATTTATTACCACGTATCTCTATATAAGCCGAATTCGATTGACCTAGATTAGATCGATTTGGGTTCAATCAAAGTGAACTTCTTCTGATCTAGATATTTTTTTGTTGATGAGGGTGCACTGATCCAACCTCAATCGAACACAGTGCGGTTCACTTAAATTGATCTAGATCGATCTAATCCAGTCAATCAAATTCGGCTATAGAGGGGAGTGATATAGGCTATTTTTTATCCTGAAAAAAAAAGTTTAGTTGCGCGAAACTCTGATGCACTGGAACGCCTATAAACAGCCCGGGGCGCTCTAGAGCAGCTCTGGAGTGAATGAAATATTTTTTTTGCATTGCATTGCAACGCATGCCGGGTACAGCTAGTAATAATATAAAATAATATTTAAAAAAAGAAAATGAATTATTACCACTATACTTGCCACTAGAGCGATTTTCCAATGAATCGAGAGCCGGTAATTTGGAGTACTTATTATGGGTTCCTTGATTGCTCCTAGAGCAATTTTCCAGGGAATGGAGAACTGGTAATAGTCCCAACCTTTGTAATTTTCCAGCCAATTGAGTGCCGGGTAATAGTTTAAATCTTGAATATT